GGAGGGTTTTTTTTTTTTAGCCATATCATATATATATATATATATATATTCATTTTAAATGTTGTTTTATCGGTAAGGTCTTAATTATAGTTTGACCGTTCTGAGTATGAAATCAATTTACCCATATTTTCTTTCTTACTTTGTTAACGTCAATTTCAATATTGGAAATAAATGAACATATTTGGAAAATGATGAAACTATGACTATATATATATATATATATATATATATGAGTTTCACAGTATTAAAAGAAAAACAAAATACCAAAATGATTCATCTTGTAGGCCCACTGCTTAGTGGTTAATCCTTCCTTGTTAAGATACATGAAAAACTTGTGTGTGTAGGTTGGTGGTTTAGGATTTTGGTTTGATTATTTTCCATGTTATACTTTTTAATATTAAAAAAACTATAATCAATTCCTTTTTTTTATATTGGATTCAATTAAATTTCTATTGAATTCGGACCAATTCTAATTTTTTTCCGACAAGAGTCGAAAATTTTTACTATTTTTTATGTTCGATTTTTTCAACATTAAATATATACAAAACATTATAACCATTTTATTCGATATTTATATTTTTCTATGACATTATCCAAATGCCCACACCTAAACACCTAACAGATGGATTCCGACAACGTCAGAGGAAACAAACAGAGAGAATGATGGATGGAGAGACAGAGAAATGAAGTGGGAAAAAAAAAAAAAAGTTCACCAGAAAAAAGTTGGGTTATGATATCTTAAGCACTAATCTGAATCATCAGAGGAATAATCCTCGAGCTGTTCATCAACACAAAGCAATATCTCATCGTAATCGCATGAAGATCTGACCAGACCTGAATCACATTCTTCTCTCTGCTCATCTGAGCCCTTGTCGTATTCTCCCTGCAAGCAATGATCCGGTTCCAGATTCTCGCCGGGTTTCTCAGATGGGTCGCTCCGAGTTACCTCTGACTCAACCGGGTCATCACGGGTCGCCACCATAGTGTCCTCCGTTTGGTCTTCTGCGTGTTCAGCTTCTGTTGTCTGTCCTGATGGGTGTTCATGTTCATCCGAATCCAGTTCAGTTTCGGTTTTTCTGGTGAACTCATTTGTTCCTAGAGGAACAGGGAAGCCCGGAGGAACCTCCTCGTCTGAATTCTCCGGAACCGTCTGGTCACAGGTCTCGAGACGGGCGTTATCGGGTTTGTCTGACCGTGGATCCACACCCGGGAAAACCCCTGTTGAAACCCGAAAACTGAAATAAACGAACGCAGAAAGTAATGGACAAAACCGAACGAAAGAACGAAAGCAGGGAAAAAAATCTGGCTTTTACTCGAGACAGTGTCGGGTTTCGTCTGCTCGTACAAGGTTTTCTTTAGCAGTATTGTCCCAGGGAACACCATCAAGTTGATTCTTTTGAGAGATTCACGTTCTTGATCATCATCCACTGGTACGAATCCGAATCCTCGAGTCCATGTCTCGACTAAACTCGGAAGCGCAGCTACCACGAGCTTCTCAACCTTAAACGACATCAGCATCTGCAGCCATCACCCGAGGAAACAGTTTCATTTCCAAGATTTTCCCGAGAAAGTAAGTGAGAAATCGAAGACATTCATCACAAAAAAAAAAAAAAGACAGGTCTTCCATTTTCCGAGCAGCCGAGTACTGTACCTCTTCAATGGCAGCAACAAGGATTCTGCACATTCCCTGACGTCGGAACTTACTGCATGTAGCAACGAGAGGCATCTCTGCAACAGACACACCATGTAACCTGGCAAAAAAAAAAGTCGTTTTTTTTTTCCGATTTGACTTATGAAAAAGAAAAGAGCTTGAAAAGTATTTTACCGGGTTTTTGTACATATGCTCAGAGGATCTGAGAATCGTTCAGTTTCAGAAATAACGAGTTCCGACAGTTAAAAAAACGTAAAAAGGTAATAACTTTACTGACCTGATGGATGCTACCGATATCAGTACGTCATCCTTCTCCACGACCACTGAGTAGAACCCGTCAAAGTTTAACCGTGCAAAATTCGACCTTTACTCGATCCAAAAGGCGAATATTAGATATGAACACGAGTGAGTGATACAGTATTTTACAAACCCTAATTCCTCTGAATTTAAAAGGAGATTTACCCCCAATTGTACAGCAAATGAGGTAACATGTCAACACCAGTTCTTGCATCAACCATAGATTGAAAGCATTCCTCCATTATCGAGAGAGCGACTGCTAACTTCGAGTTGCATTCAGCTTTCATGGCGAACCACTGGACAGAATGAACATTTTGGTCTTCTCGAAAACATTTCAAAAGGGCCCACGACAAGCCATCAGAAATATGGTTAATGATTCCAACACGAGAACTAAGACCTGAGTAAACCTGCATAGCCAACAGCTATCGAATAAGAACCACAAACTCTGAAGGCTATCTATCCGTACAAGGATATGGGCATAGAGTGAAAGAAATTACAAGATCCATAACGAGTTGACGGGAAATAATGGATTGGTCAATCCAGAAATCTACTTTTAACCAGTAGAATTTCACCTCATTATGCAGTAAAATATATTTTCTCTACTTCAAAGTCAAACTAGTAGATGCAAGAAAATTTCATGGCTTTAAGCTTATAACATGATCATGCAGAAGTTTTAAACAAGATTCGGAGAGGGTTTACCATGCAACATGATCATGTAGGAGTTCTAAATTAAATTCGGAGAGAGTTGGTATAACATATCGATACCTTCTCACAGCTTTTACCACAAAAGTAAGTTCCAGGAAAGGGTTCTCTGCGTTTTCTTGTCCCTTGCAGACACATGACATGATCTGATAACAAAGGTAGAAGTCATCAGCCAAAACTGGATTCTAACAAAATATAATTACACTGGAATTAATTCAATACCCAGAATGAGGAAAAGCCCCAAAATAATTCTTTAGGAGAAAACAAAATGGAAAAGAACCAAGCCCTTTACATAGAGATGGCAAATAAAGCCGACATCTGCAAATGAAAGGGGATTCTTGATTACATGACGGTGAATTCTTGATTAAGACAAGGGTTAAAATCAGGGGTATCCTTTAGATAATATAACCACAAATCAAATTTTGTGTACTGTACAAGGTTAATCATGATTTCTAATAGTTGGCAAGTCAGAGAGGTGGAGGGAGGATTACATTTATGCTGGCATTGTGAGCATTTAAACGCATGTGAGCAATCTGCAGGCTCCTTATCACCGACCAACTCTCCGCAGATCCAACACGTGCAGTTTGAGCAATACCAACTTCCTTCAGGTAGCACCTGATTTCATAGACAAAAAAGTAAAAGAATAAACTCACTTTATCTAAAGCCAAGAAATTTACAGAAGACACCGATATAGAAAAGTACCTGCATTGATAAGCAAGCCTGATGGAAGGTGGATGGACAGTTATCACAGCATATCAACTCACCCCCATCACCACAAATTCCACAAGAATCGTCATTTGGATCATCATCGACAGCTTCCAGTGATCTCCCTCCGTTTCTCCGGGCCTTGTACTCAGCAGCCCAAGCTTGCAACTGACACGAACTGAAGGGCTGTCCTGACTCCATGAAAAGATTCAGACACGGGCGGTTCAGACTAAATCCAGCATGGCTCTTAAATTCAGACAGTGATACCGTCCTATTACAACAGGTGCAAACCACTCCATCTCTGATCACCAGGCCAGTTTTCACCACGGTATCGTCATCTGGGTCCCGTAACTCGATTACCTCATCCCTGGAAATTACCTTGGAGGCTATCAACCACCATAACACCGTTCTTGGACCTGAAACAGACCATTTTCCTTCTGTAAATTGCTTTCCCCCCTTGCTTGAGCTTCTGGGAAGCAACTTGCATCCTCCCTTGTTGCTTCTCTTTTTTGTTCTGGCTTTTGATTTCTGAGCTTTCTTTTTCCGGTTTGACCCACCAGCACCATCTCTGTTATCTTTGGTTTTCATTATTGAAGAAATCAAAATGTCATTACCCTGACCCTGGTGTTTATTAGCTTTCTTTCCCCGCTTCTTTGAACTGCCATGTGAATTCTTGATCTTATCTTGCTTCAAAATTTCGTCATGACAGTCCTTTGACGGTAAGAGAACACTACACATATCATTGTCAAGGCATTCCAGAGCGCCAGGAGAATTAGAATCTAGGATATCAAGTTGATCCAAGGAAGCTGGTCTGATTTCAGATATCTTTTTTGACTTTCTCTGCAACTTCTTTCTCATAGAACTTCCATGCTTGCCCTCGGTTATCAACTCTGAGGCTCCAGCTTGTTTGCTAACCACCTCCTCACCAAGCCCAGGATTCTGTATAACCCCAGAGATCACAAACTCAGGTGACGCGGATTCATCTTTTCCACAACCGCTGTAATTCTTCAGTGTGGGATCTCCTTGGAACTGCGGTGTATTTTCTTGAATGCAAGAACTTGCCAATGCAGTTGGAGGGGCAGAGTTCTTCCCCAATTCTTTGGTATGTCCCTTACGATCTGAATGAATCTCGTGGTTAACATCCTCATCATAAATACCACGGCTTTCCTCGGAAACTGTCAAAACACTTTCAGGGCAGCCTGATATTCTGTGCATGGAACCCGCATTTTCTTTCTTGCACTTTTCAATCACTGAACACCATGAGGCTTCAACTTCAGTTCCCTTTCTTAAACAACCGACTTTCCTATCTGTGAACACGACAGTCACAAAAGGCTCTAAAGTGCTCCACCAAAGTGCCCGAGTATTTGCAAGATCTAACCCTTTCATGTTCTCCTCGACGTCCAACAATGTTAGCGACAGATCTGACCAGAAATCATTGATACCAGTCCATTTCTTTGTACCAGAGTTGATAACCATATGATCAGCCATTAGGGTCTCACCTAATAATCTCCAAACCGTGGGAAATTCGCGAAATTTTCGTTCCTCGGGTGATATGTACATCGTATCACTGTATTTTCTGCATGGTCTTTGATACTTCTCCATTTTCCAGCCAGCAGCACTAAGCAACTTAAACACATACTTCTGGAGAAGGGGACGAGGATCCTCCTTAGGATCTATCCTCAGACAAATCTCAGATATATTTAGTCTTTGAGAATTCGACCCATTAGGGCATACTTTAGATGCATCCTTCAATTGCAATGGGGAGTCAGACTTCTCAGCGAAGGATACAGATGAACTCCCACATGCCATTCTTGTGGCAAAGCTCTCCTGAGAAACAGGAGAGGCAATTGCTTTACATCCAAATAACATCTTTCCATCACATTTGTCCAGGGTTTGTGACTTGCACTTTTCTAACCCAGGTTCTCCCAGATAAATTTCTCTGCCCTTGTCTGTTTTTTGCTTTAGCAGATATGACCTAGTCGAAACACCAGTTCTAGATGATTCGACTAAATGGAGAGGTATTGTTTTGCTAGCCATATCAAAATTTGGATAGTTATTCAGCACAGACCCCTTTCCATGTTTCGTGTCTGGAAGCTCATTGCCTGAAAACTTCATTCTCTTACTCTTTGCGTTAAAGTCTGAACTATCCTTAGAAGCAAATGGCTCGGAACCCTCTGGACATATATATTTAGTGGCCCATTGGCTTGTCGCCACAGTGTTATCACTGTTAGAGCACAGAGAGGATGTGGCATTCTTACTGGAGTCACATTCGAAGTCAATGACTCCAGTAACAAGGCATCTTTTAGTTGTATTTCCGGGATCATTTCCAAAGAAAACCTGTCTGAAGATCTGGTGCTCTTCATATGACCCCTCAAAACCGTCATCCTGTAAATTTCCGATCTCTCTGTTACAAAGCATCCTTACCTACTAAATGCATGCTTTACTTTGTGTGAAATTGTAGGAAAGGTACCTGAAAGTACAAAAACAATGGATACTTTCATCCATAACTAATTTAATCCTAAGAAAATGGGTAACTTCCTGTTCCGTTCTCCAGTCATTACACATCTAGAATGGGAAGAGTATACGAGCAAAGGAGGTATCCAGAATGCATATTTTTTTACGGCCAAATTTTCATCTCTGGCCATGAAAATTTATGTATCGCCATAAAAAAGGAACTGTGATTGGTAAGGAAATAACATAAACCTTCTCATTTTCAAAATTTGACCTTTTCCCACAGTAAAATCGATGTAGAGAATCTAGAGGCCCGAAAATACTGCTAACAATCACAGGGAGATAACTAAAAGGCCTAAACATCAGTGTCAGCATGCACATGTATCCAGGATATGTTGCTTGCCAATTCGAAACAGAAAATGGTCCAACCAAATGAAGACGCATTCCGTGGAAGTAAGCTAGCATGTGAAACTTTCAGTGGAAAGGGTTCAAATATCAGGGCGACCATTGTGAGTGATATTCACTCTCAAGAGACACTGACCCCTATGCCTATTTCATCAGGCACATCACCATCCTGTTCTTTCCATCTTCTTTCGTGTTGCATTGCTCAAAAAGGCCACTACGACAAGATGAATCACTACTAAATAAGAGAACTAAACTACCCTAAATGCCATGTGCTGTGTACGAAGTTCTTACCACACCAACCATGAAGTAAAGAGCTGCAGATTAATGTTAAATGAAGAGTCTAAGGTTCATAAATGTCATACCATATTCAGGAGAAACTGCCAAATCACCGACTTAGTACAGTCATAGAGGCCCTCGTGGAATCAATGTCTCACTTTACTTTCACCAGTTGGTAGGCAGAAGTTGATCATTCGCCTGAAAATTAGCCCAGCAAGCATCATAAATCCAAAGATCGAAGCAAGAGACCGACCTTGCTTACACATGAAAAATGAGGTGCTACTAATCAACAACACAGACAAGACCCAGCACATAGGCAACTTATTTCTTAGAAACAGGGAGGGGATTTATCTGTACAGGGTAAACACCAGAAATAGCCCAAATGCCTAATCTAACAAATTCAGAATGCACCTTTTATGGAAATGTCCAGAATGATTTCATCTGAATATAGAAGCCAGTGAAAACATGCATCAAATGAGAGATGGAACTCATAATCCTTGAGATTTTTAATTCACACTAGCAGATGCAGACTAATGCCAACGAGTCTTCAAATGTAACCAAAAGCAGATGAACTGTTATCACTGCCACTTCAAAGACAATGTCAATAGATGCTAGATTTGTCGCCAAATTCCAATTGGGGTACTGAAATTCCTTCAGACGAACCAAAAGTCGCCATCGTGTTTCTCGAAATCAAACAAGAACGGGGAGAAATAACAAAACCTAAGTTCCTTAACGAAGCAAAGATTCAGATAAGCAGCCATATCATACTATCACAGAACCAGAATTCCGTCTTTGGAACAAATCAAAGACCGGGGAACCACCGATCACAGAAAACTGAGCTGAAAACTAAACACCAAGAAGGAAAGCCGGAGAGGAGATTTCACAAGTGATGTTATCTTTGGCCAACAACACCTAAACAGAGCTCACCTCGGGCAAATGCATGCGATTCCCAGCATGCAGACAGGATCGAGGCGACAAATTTCGAGGATCAAAGCTCGAAATCCGACATGGGTTTGGTCTGAAAGAGCGAGAATCTCACCGAAATGCAGGAAAAGGAAGCGATTAGCTCGCCTTCGCCGTGTGAGAGAGAGAAACCCGAAGCTTTCGACGACCCAGAACACTCCAATTCCCTCTTTCTCTCACTTTATATCTCTCCTCCAGTGGGAAACGCATTTCAATTCATTTCATTTCATGTTCTTTGTACTCCTCTCTCTCTCTCTCTCTCTCTCTCTCTCTCTCTCTCTCCTGGCTCCCTCACACATCACAGGCCAATTTGCTTCTGTCTTGTCTCCTCGATTGGCTTTTTCATTTTTTTTTCTCCTTAATCCTGGAAATAAACAAACCCCACCTGAAAATCGGTAATTAAGCTCAGAAATCTCTGGATAATGACGATCTAGATTATTGATTTTTCCTTAAAAATTTCACCTTTCTCCCCTCCCCCGTCCGCTTTCGATTATTGCTCCGGTGGTTAGTTACAATTTCTACACCTCACTTCGCTCTTGTTTTCATTTTTTCCCCCCCTCAAAGGGAATCTTTTTATTGTTGCAAAAGCATCTCCTCTTTTTCCAACCCAAGAGATTGTATCTTTCTGCTCACACTCATAACGGTTTTATTAATCAAGATTGCATTTTTATGCTCTGGAAGTTTAATTTCGATTGAATTCTGTTTTGTAACGGTATAAGATGTTATAAATATTCATTATTACAAGAGTTTTTTTCATAAATTTGATAACCCGTGAAATTTAACTCTCGTTTCAACGTGGACCGTCCATATCTCTCAATTGGTTATTTAATATTTGAAATGAGCATCTAATCAACTTTTTAGTTGATAATCGAGCTTTACAATGGTTCTCTTGGTGAAGGCTATGATGGAAAAACGGCAGGTGTTTCACACACAGAAACGTTCAATAGCATGATGTGCATCTTTTATACAGATCTCGTGAACTACACGCCGTTTTATTACATCAGCACGGAGTTTGCCTTTTATCTTGAAAGATGACGTGGCAAGATCACAGCCGATCTTATCATCATATTGTACCCAACCTCCATTGGACGCGTCCGCATGGTATCTTTTTCTCGGAGGTTTCGTATTGGACTCTAAAGTTTGACCATAATGGCGTCGTCTCTTATACTTTATTAACCCCGCCATTATCTAACACTCTCGAGCTCTTTCTTCTTCTAGACGACGACTTTCTTTTCTCGTGAATCGCCGATCCTTCTCTGTTTCTGCAGCCATGGCTTCATCTGCGAAGAAGGTGATGTTACGAGACCGTTTTTTTCCTGTTCGATCGTTTTTTGTTTCTCGTGATGATTTGAAGTTTCTCTTTGACAATTCAGGTTTTGGTGCCTGTTGCGAACGGTACAGAGCCGTTGGAGGCGGTGGTGATGATATATGTGCTGCGGCGGTCGGGGGCGGAAGTGACGGTGGCCTCCGTCGAGAAGCAGCTTCAGGTTGACGCGTGTCATGGTGTGAAGTTTGTTGCCGATTCTCTCCTTTCCGATTGCAGCGACGCAGTTTTTGACCTTATAATGCTCCCTGTACGTCTCTTTGCAAGTATTATCACTTTTGGTATATCTTCAATCCATGTGGATCTGCATCGATTTTTGGGTATAGTAGCATGGAATATGATGGCAAGGAGATCATCCGGAGCCGATCGTTAGATTACTCGGAAAGTTGCAGATCATCTTTCAGAAATTGCTAGATTGATAGCGTCATCATGAAACAGATGTTGAAAGTTTGTTAGGCATGATTTTGAATGCAATCATTGCATTTCCCCCTCATTTTTGTTGAATGTTTAACAATTTAATCGCTCATTTTCTGTTTTGTTACTTTGAGTGGTAAAGGGAGGGCTTCCAGGCGGTGAGACTCTGAAAAACTGTGGAGTTTTGGAGAATATGGTGAAGAAGCAAGATGCTGAGGGACGGCTTAATGGTGCTATCTGTTGTGCTCCTGCATTGGCTCTCGGTTCTTGGGGTCTTCTAAAGGGAAGAAAAGTAAGTCACTACTGATCTTTTTGCAGGAACTTAACCACTTATGTTCCAGTTTTCTATTGATGTATGAATGACATTTGTCCCTGACACCCTGACAGGCAACATGTTACCCGGTTTTTATGGAGCAACTAGCATCTTGTGCAACTGCTGTTGAGTCAAGAGTAGTAATAGATGGTAAGATAGTGACCAGTCGAGGGCCAGGAACCACCCTGGAATTCTCTGTCTCACTTGTGGAGCAACTGTATGGCAAAGAGAAAGCCAATGAAGCCGTTGAGCGCTCGGTATGCCTCATCCTTCTGACTTCGAATTCATTAAGTCCTTTTCGAACTAAAAGAGATATTATTGATTAAGCTCAGTCATGAAAATGCTTTTGGTTGAATTGGAGACTACTTGGCTTTCTATGTTCATTGGATCTTGTTGAGTAACTGCTGGGGATGGAAAGCTATAGGAGGCAGAAATATTCAAAATGACCATGTCAAAATAACAATACTGTGGTGGTCTACATCGTGCTTAGTACATGATAGAACTGTGCTACTTAACTTCCTTTGCCCTCTTCTCTTAGACTCACATATTTCTTTTTTGTCATCAGTTGCTACGCCCCAATCCTGGTGAGGACTATACTTTCATTGAGCTTAACCAAACTAAATGGACCTTTGATGGTAGTACCCCACAGGTAATTCGGGTTTCCTATAACGACTTTTCTATGGATCGAGGTTCCTATTTACTTGGGTAACTGTCATATCGTCAGCTGGGTAATAGTATGAAAGTTAATCGTTTGTAGAAGCTGTGGCAGGCAACGGTATAATAAAAAACTTATGATTTTGACTTGCAATGGCTCTGAGAGACTTCATTATCGGCCTGGATAATGACGATCTAGATTATTGATTTTTCCTTAAAAATTTCACCTTTCCTATTGCTGATGGCTCGGAAGAAACAGAAGCTGTAGGTTTAATCGATATTCTGAGGCGAGCAAAAGCAAAGGTAGTTGTTGCTGCAGTAGGGAACAGTCTGGAAGTTGTAGGATCTTGGAAAGTTAAGCTGGTGGCCGACGTGCTTCTAGCGGATGCTGAAATACTTACTTATGACCTGATCGTGTTACCTGTAAGTGTTCAATGTTAATGATACGGAATATAGGATATTTGCTAAGATATGTGGTAAATTGAGAAATATAACAAGGTGGGCTTATTCTTTCTTTCACAGGGTGGTCTTGTTGGTGCTCAAACATTTGCGAGTTGTGGGAAGCTGGTGAATATGTTGAAGAAACAGGCAGAATCGAACAAACCCTATGGAGCAATCTGTGCCCCGTCGGCTCTGGTCTTGGAGCCTCATGGATTACTCAAGGTAATATAAACAGAAATATACGAACTCTGAACAATAATATCCTGTTTCAAATACTTTTTTATTTCAAGCAATTTAAGAATCAACTAGAACGGGGACGGAAACTAGCTATTAAACTAGTTGGAGTTACAAGATACTTGCATTTGCCCGAAAAAAACGGAACTAGAAGCTTTCAAGATCCTTGCCTTAAAGTTCAGTACTCATTATTTCCCCAAAACTCGGTATTTGAATTGCTTGCAATGAGGAAAAAGGCTCACGGATTGTGATATAGCGAAAGTTTCCATTGTTTTCCTTTCATTTACTCTTCTCTCCACGAAGAATGGAGTGTACGAAGCTTGAAAGTTAAGTACCCGTTATTTCTCAGCAACTCGGTGCTTGAATTGCTTGCTTGCAATGAGGAGAAAAGTTCACGAATTGCAATATGCCTAGAGTTTCCATAGTTTCCCGTCAATTTACTCTAGGAATTGAGTGTATGAATCTCATCTATGTCAGAAGTTGTATCATCTCACTTGGATATTCGTGCAGGGTAAGAAGGCGACGACAAATCCCTCATTTTGCGAGAAACTGTCGGACAAGAGCCATATCGAGTACAGAGTCGTGGTGGATGGTAACCTCGTAACCAGCAGGGGACCAGGAACTACAATGGAGTTTGCACTTGCGATCATCGAGAAGTTCTTTGGGCGCGAGAAAGGGCTCGAGATCGCTAAGGCCACGCTTCTGTAGAACCTTCCCTCGGGCTTTCTTCATATACCGAAGGGTGAGCTTTTCAAGGTGGGGAATTTGGAAAGAATAAGGTTTTAGTGTTTGGGTCGATGTGAGAGTGCATGTATATAGTGTGGTTGATGAGAGTACGTGTATGTAATGTGGTTGATTAAATAACACGAAGTTTGTGTCAATAAACGGCGATCGGTTGTAACACAATCGTTTGCAGATGCGGAGTTTGCGATTTTTGACGATTGCGTACGATTGAACATTGGTTTAATCGCAATCGTTTTTAATCGCAATGTGAAAAATCTAATCGCACATTTTCATTTTAGTTTTGGTATTCTATTTCTCGTTCCTGCAAGATCTTCGCCCTAATACCGAGTTGTTTCTGAAGTCGGCTCATCAATGAATACAATAGCAGTATCAGATCTTGACCCTTCTCCTCTCTCCCCAAAATATTCCAGATCTTGAACCTTCCCCGATTCTTGAATCCGTCTCATTTTCCAATCCAAGTTCTTGAATCACCATGTCAACCCTAATCTCGGCCTCTTTTCTCTTTGAACGCGCATTAACGTTTCTTGCACGGTAAGGGAACAACAGGGCCATATATAAATATACACATGCACACATATATATACATACATATAAATACATATATATATATACATACATATAAATACATACATATATATTAATACATATATATACATATACATATATACACATTCGCATATATATACATATACATATACATACACATATATATAGATATACATACATATATATACATAAATACATGTATATACATATATTTATATATTTATATGTATGTATATATATGTAGCATGTATATATATATATATATATATTTATGTATGTATTTATATATGTATGTGTTTATATGTATGTATGTATGTATATGTATGTATATGTGTATGTATATATATGTATTGATATATATATAGATCCGCTTATATATATGTATATGTATATGTGCATATATATGTGTGTATATATATATGTATGTATATGTATATATATATGTATATGTATGTATTGGTATATATATATTTATATATGTGTGCATGTATTTATATGTATGTATATGTGTATATATATACATATATATGTGTGTATATATGTATATGTATATATATATGTATTGACATATATATATATATGTATATATATGTGTATGTATATATATGTATTGATATATATATATATATATATGTGTGTTTGTATTTATATGTATATATTGTATATATATACATATATATGTGTGTATATATGTATATGTATGTATATGTATATATATGTATATTTATATATGTATTGGTATATATATATATGTGTTTATATGTATGTATATACGTATGTATATATACATATATGTATATATATATATATGTATATGTGTGTATATATATATTTTTTATTTTTTAATTAATTAATTAATTTATTTATTAATTTTTTATTTTTTATTTAATTTCTGATGTGGCGATGACATGGCGCAATGATTAGGAGATATGTTGAGAATTTTGTCGCCACGTCAGATTTCTGTTTGTCTATGTGGCGATTATTTAACTGTAGTTATTTTTTTGCCAATAATTTAAAAATATAAAATTTATTTGGTGAAAAACGAATTGTACTGGTATTATTCAATAATTAAAAAAATACATATATTAAATTGAGATTAGAAAAAAGTATAAGTATTTTGCGGTGATTTTCCCTAAAAAAATAAAAAAGTTTAAATTTGATTAAATTACGGTAGATTTGTTTTATTTTATAGTAATCTTAAAGTTTTTGAAAAATTTGAAACGAATAAAAATATAATTTGATAACAAATATAAATAATTTTTAATCAATATATATTTTAGAAAAATATTAAACAAATTAGTATATAAGAATATTTCAATAAAAAAATTATAAACAAAGTTTAGTTTTCATTTTTCTTATTAGTATATAAGAGTTCAATAAAAAATTATAAAATAAGTTAATTTTAATTTATAAATAAATATATATATATATATATATAAATCTTTTATATATATTGAACTGGTCTCCTGTAACTTAAAAAGACAGTCCTGGGGAACAATGGTCTCCTGTGACTTAAAAAGACAGTCCTGGGGAACAATGGTCTTCTGGTTAAAAACCATCGAGGTTTGCGCTCACATAAACGATAAATAGCATGGTGTGTCCCTTTTACAGATCTCGTGAACTACACGCCGTCTTAGCACCTCAGCATACAGCACGGAGTTTGCCTTTTATCCTGAGCGATGACGTGTCACGATCGCAGCCGATCTTATCACCATGTTGTATCTACTCTCCAGTCGACACGTCCGCAGAGTATCTTTTTCTCGGGGGTTCCGTATAGGACTTTGACGGCAATGGCGTCGTCTTTGTGTCTGCGCTTTATTAACCCCACCATTATCACTCCCCTCTCACACTCTCGAGCTCTCTCTTCTCCTAGACGACGACTTTCTCTTCTCGTGAATCGCCGATCCTTCTCTATCTCTGCAACCATGGCTTCATCTGCGAAGAAGGTGATGTTACGAGACCGTCTTTTTTTTTTTCGTTCGATCGTGGTTTTGTTTCTCGTGATGATTTGATGTTTCTCTTTTATAATTCAGGTTTTGGTGCCTATTGCGAACGGTACGGAGCCGTTGGAGGCGGTGGTGATGATCGATGTGCTACGGCGGGCGGGGGGGCACTCAAGTGACGGTGGCATCCGTCGAGAAGCAGCTTCAGGTTGACGCGTGTCATGGTGTGAAGATCGTTGCCGATTCTCTCCTTTCCGATTGCAGCGACGCAGTCTTCGACCTTATTACGCTCCCTGTACGTCTCTCTGCAAATCTATCGCTTTTGATATATCTTCAATTCATGTGGATCTCTGTCGGAGCATGGAATTTGATAGTACGGAAATAATCCGGAGCCGATCGTAAGATTATTCTGAAACTTGCAGATCATCTTTCATGAATTGCAATTGTTGACACGCTAGGCATGATTTCGAATGCAGTGATTGTATTGCCCTCTCATTTTTGGTAAATGCTAAACAGTTTGATCGCTCGTTGTCTGTTTGGTTACTTTGAGTGGTAAAGGGAGGGCTTCCAGGCGGTGAGACTCTGAAAAACTGTGGAGTTTTGGAGAATATGGTGAAGAAGCAAGATGCTGAGGGACGGCTTAATGGTGCTATCTGTTGTGCTCCTGCTTTGGCTCTCGGTTCTTGGGGTCTCCTAAAGGGAAGAAAAGTAAGTCACTACTGGTCTTTTTGCAGGAGCTTAACTACTCATGTTCCAGTTTTGTATTGATGTATGAATGGCATTTGCCCGTGACAGGCAACATGTTACCCAGTTTTTATGGAGCAACTAGCATCTTGTGCAACTGCTGTGGAGTCAAGAGTGCAAATAGATGGTAAGATATTGACCAGTCGAGGGCCAGGAACCACCATGGAATTCTCTGTCTCACTTGTGGAGCAACTGTATGGCAAAGAGAAAGCCAATGAAGTTGCCGGGCCCTTGGTATGCTTCGTCATTCTGACTTCGAATTCATTAAGTAATTTAAGTCCCTTTCGGACTGAGAGATATTATATATTGATTAAGTTCAGTCATGAAAATGGTTTTGGTTGAATTGGAGGCTACTTGGCTTTCTGTGCTTTTTTCTCGGCTTGCACATATATCATGCTCATTGGATCTTGTTGAGAAACTACCAGCAATGGCAAGTTATAGGAGGCGGAATTATTCAAATGACCACAGAGAAATGACAATTTTGTTGTGGACAATATAGAGCTGTGTACTTGAACAAACTTCCTTTGCCCTCTTCTTTTAGACTCACCTGTTCCTTTTTTGACATCAGTTGCTGCGCCCCAACCCTGGTGGGGAGTATACTATCACTGAGCTTAACCAAACTAGATGGACCTTTGATGGTACCCCACAGGTAATTCGACTTCAATAAAAAAACAGCTTATTATTTTCTATAAAGACTTTTCTGGAGTATGAGGTATCTATTTACTTGGGTTACTGTCATACCATTTGTAGAAGATGTGGCAGGCATTGACGTGATGAAAGACTTACGATTTTGACATGCAATGGCTTTGAGAGACATTATTTGTCTTCATTATTGATATTCCAATGTATCAGAAAGATATGCTTTCCCCATTTCAGATTCTTGTGCCCATTGCTGATGGCTCGGAAGAAATGGAAGCTGTTGCCATAGTAGATCTTCTGAGGCGGGCAAAAGCAAAGGTAGTCATGGCTGCAGTAGGGGACAGTCTTGAAGTTGTAGCATCTCGGAAAGTTAAGCTAGTGGCCGACGTGCTTCTAGACGATGCTGAAAGGCTTACTTATGACCTGATCGTGTTACCTGTAAGTGTTCAATGTGAATGATAACGCAATATAGGACATTTGCTAAGTTACGTTATATTTAGAATTTAGCAAGGTGGGCTGATTCTTACTTTCACAGGGTGGTCTTGGTGGTGCTCAAGCATTCGCAAGTTGTGAGAAACTGGTGAATATGTTGAAGAAACAAGCAGAATCAAACAAACCCTATGGAGCTATCTGTGCCTCGCCTGCTCTGGTCTTGGAGCCTCATGGATTACTCAAGGTAATATAAATAAACAGTAAAACAGATCACAGAAATATATGAACTCTGAACAGTATAGTTTCATGATTCAAATACTTTTCTTTTTCTTTGCAAGCAATTCAAGAATTAGGTAGAGCGGCGATGGAATCTAGCTATATTAAACTGGTTGGACTTTCAAGATACTTGAATTTGCCCGGAAAAAAAAAATAACTAGAAGCTTTCAAGATCCTTGTCTTAAAGACTAAGTTCAGTACTCGTTGTTTTATTTTTCGGTAACTTGGTTCCTGAATTGCTTGCATTGCAATGAGGAAAAAAAGTTGATAAACTGTTATATAGCGAAAGTTTCCAAAAGTTTTCATTTACTTTACTCTTCTCTCCACGAATAATAGAGTGTTTGAATCTCGAAAGTGAAGTACTAGTTGTTTCTCAGTGCTTGAATTGTTTGCCTGCCATGTAGCGGAAGTTTCCATAGCTCTCCCTTGAATTTACTCTTCTCTCCCTGGAGAATTGAGTGTACGAATCTCATCTATGTCGAAGCTAATTTGTTTACTCGGATATCCTTGTAGGGTAAGAAGGCGACAGCATTTCCCGCAATGTGCGAGAAACTGTCGGACAAGAGCCATATCGAGCACAGAGTGGTGGTGGATGGTAACCTTGTGACAAGTAGGGGACCTGGAACTTCGATGGAGTTTGCACTCGCGATCATTGAGAAGTTCTTCGGGCGCGAGAAAGGGCTCGAGATCGCGAAGGCCACGCTTCTGTAGAACCATCACACGGTTTCCTCCATATATAACGAAAGGCGAGTTTTCAAGGTGAGCGACTTGGAAAGAATAAGATTGTAGTGTTTGGATCGGTGGAGATGTGGTGAGGATGTGTATGTATTGCCGTTGATGAAAATAAAATAAAAGTTTGTGTTAGTAAGAAAAAACCAAAGCTGAGTTTCAGTATGTAAAACCGACGAGGTTCATGTTTTGGTTTTAATGTATGGATTAGAGACTATATCTGACAATATATATGTATGTATATATGATTGTCCCCTTTTATTTTTATATATCAGTAGCCAGTAGTGGTGGGTATTTCGGGTTTGGACAGTCGGGTTTGGATTTGGATTTTATATAGAATTTGGTTCGGTTGTTCATATTCGGTTTTATTGATGAAATTGTTCGTTTTGCAATCTTTTCGGTTTAAAAAAGCTATCTATTCGGTTTGGATATAGTTATATGTTATGTTTTTTATTTGTTTTTATATAAGATGAATTTGTACAATCCAATTGATTATATTGTTGGTATTATTAGCATATGACATTGTATGGTTTTAAAAGAACAATTTTAGTGATCATAATTATCTGTGTCGTTTAATCACAAGAAAACAGAAGAGGATGTAACTAGAGTTTGCCCAAGTTTCATGTTCTGTAACAAACATCTGAACCAGAAAATGAAGGAGCGGCCAAGAACTCTTAGAGACTATGAAACTCAACATAAAACCAAGAACACATCCTACTCATTTATCATCAGACACTCTAACAAGGTCATGTAATGATGCATGAATCGCCGACACTTAGGGTTCTTATCCTTTGCAATGAAATAACTAGAAAAACAAGAAGAGACATCCCATAAGTTCTGAGATCACTGAATCACGATCCAAATGAGTTTGATATGTCCATATCACCAGTTTGAAAGTACATAAATTTGTCTAGTTATCTTCTCGAACCGATAAGCCAGTAAATGGGTATGAGAGAAGAGCGAGGTGATAGATATTAGCCCGTAGGAAGGGAATGGAGATTAGGGTTTCGGCCAAAATGTCATCACTCTATGCTTTTCTTGACATCTCTTTCATGATGATTCTACATTCTTGCAAGAAAATTCATTAGTCCTTCTGTTGTTGAAGATAGGAGGAAAGTGAGACTCAGTGAATATAAAAACTTAAAACATTGACTGAAAAATATTGTCTTGTTGGTAATTTTTTTTTGTTGAACAGAAAAACTCATTCCAAAGTTCGAAACCTCTGCCTAAGGAAGAAGGTTTTACTCGTTTTTAGTAGGTCTCTTATTGATAAGGAAGATTGCATTGATTTAAATATGAATTGAATTGGCAAATATGGACGTGACCAAATTAAATTGGCAAAACGGGCCATTATGGGAATAAATTAATATTTGGGGTCATTTTGCTTTATGTGAAGAGTATGAGGGGTAATATTGTATACTTCTCTTTTTTATTGGTCTAAGTTGCAATTTATCCAAAATGCACTCGGCTCATTTCGCAGATAAAAGCCCTGCAAAAACCCTTCCCTTGCATTCCCTTCCCATCTGTCCCTCCATAGGGTTTTTTTATCTGCTAAACCTCGAGGCTTTTCCATGGCGTCGCGGACGCTTTCCCGTTCCACCCTCTCACAGCGGGCGAAATCCCTTTCCATTCTCTTCGCGCGGTCCTTCTCTTCGTCACCTTCTCTTGCCAAAACTCCTGTGCCTTCTTTCGCTGCTTCATCTCTGCTGAGCCGCTCGAGGCCTCTCGCCGCCGCGCTCTCGTCCGTGATCCGCGGAGTCGGCGTTGCGTCGACGAGAGGTTTGTCGACGCGAGCCACGTCGTCTTCCCTGAACGATCCAAACCCTAATTGGTCGAATCGGCCGCCGAAAGAGACAATATTACTCGATGGTTGCGATTTCGAGCACTGGCTTATTGTCATGGAGAAGCCTGAGGGTGATCCCACTAGGGATGAGATCATCGACTACTACATCAAAACCCTAGCGCAGATCGTTGGCAGGTAAAATCCAAAGCCAAAACCTTTTCTTCTCTATTGTTGCTCTGTCGTTATTCTGCAAGGATTTTGATTTAACATTTTGGGCATTGGAAATTGGAGGATCTATCTGAAATGTGTGAAGGCCTCGATATTTGAGGGACTGCAACGCTGAGTTTTCATCTGATCATTTGAAACCCTGATCTCGTTTATCTCGTTTTGAAATTTTCAGCGAGGAAGAAGCAAGGATGAAGATATACTCTGTCTCAACTAGATGCTATTATGCTTTTGGAGCACTTGTTCCAGAAGAGCTTTCACTCAAGATCAAAGGTATTGCCTCCAATTGCGCTCTTATTGTTTTCCTACTACTATGAGTTGCAGAAAACACGGATTTTCTGATATGATTTATTTGCTATGATTACCAGAGTTGCCTAAGGTGCGATGGGTTCTTCCCGATTCATACTTGGATGTGAAGAACAAAGACTATGGAGGTAAGGCTGAGTTTCTGTGTTTTCTGGTCACAATTCGCAATGTATTACCTCGTGGAATTGAATATGCCAATATGGAATGCTCAAATGTGTAAACTATGTTTCCCGAGTGTGACTTGTTTGAGGGCATATCATTTCCCGTTATCTTGTGTGCCTCTCGGGTTGATGGGCTTTTGTGTGATTCTTTTTTAGGGGAACCTTTCATTGATGGAAAGGCTGTTCCTTATGATCCCAAGTATCATGAGGAGTGGATAAGGAACAATGCCCGGGCAAATGAGAGGAACAGGCGCAATGACAGGCCTCGCAATGCTGACAGAAGCAGAAATTTCGAGAGAAGAAGGGAGAACGTGAGGGGAAACCAGGGACCAAACGCAGGCAGTGCTCCTCCACCTCCTCCCAACATGGGCGGATCTCCACCTCCGCCCAACATGGGAGGCATGCCTCCTAACATGGGTGGTGGTCCAAACATGGCTCCTCCCAATATGGGAGGCGGGATGCAAGGGAACATGGGGCAGCACATGCCACCTCCGAACATGAATCAGAACTACATGGGGGGTGGTGGGCCACCGAATGCAGGATGGTCTGGTAACGTACCTCCTGGTAACTTCCAGCCGAACAACGGGTACCCGGGTCAGGGGGGTAACATACCTCCTGGTGGTAACTTCCAACAGAACAGCGGGTTCCCGGGTCAGGGCGGGATGCAGAATCCGCAGTACCAGAATGCCTACCCACCCAACAGAGACGGTAGAAACCCGTACGAGGGTTAAGGAGTTGAACCCATGTTGGTTTGTTAGATGTATAGGTACTATGAAGTTGGAACACAAGTTGTCCTTTTGTCTACTGTGATGTTTGTGTCAATCTTGTCTCTTGAGAATTGCCTCGCACGACTTTGGCATATGGTTTAGAACCGTGTCCCGGGCTGCTGTTTCCCTTTTTAGTTCTTGAATTCTAGTACTGGCGATCGATCTAATGTGAAATGACCAGAGATTTGAGCTTTGAGGGTTCAATTTAATATGTTTGGTATAAGGAGCTTTTACTTCTAATTTAAAAGTCAAGAACTTGTTTACAGCTGAGAACTTGTAAAACTAAGAAGCTATTCAACTGCTGAGAAAAAGCTGTCCCTCTCCTCTCCTCTCCTCCTACACTGTCATCACTTTCATTATCTTGAAATGAATACTCTCATGTGTCAGGCCAATGTTGATAAAGTGCTGCACTTCTTCTGCTTTTGGCCGCCTGTATCTGATCAGCCAGTGAGAATTCTCTTACCATTCTCTCTTTCTGGATAAAATCCAAATCCAGCTTCTCCCATTTCGACGTCACTGAATCCACTCTACCCTTTTTCACATCAACTCTACCGAGTCTCGGTTTCTTCTTGTGAATCTGAAAACGTTCGATACGAATGTTCTCAGCCGTATTTTCGTATTAGTAAAAAATGGTGTGCAGAGTTTGTGTTTTAGTTACCTTTGTTAGTCTCTGCTTAAGTTTCAATCCATAGGTTTTCTTCCCACTCTTGGCTTTAGTTATCGCCTTCTCTTCACGTTCTTTCCTTTTTTCCGCAAGTCTTCTCGTCTTCTCGGCCCTTGCTTGTGCTACTGCTTCTGCTCTTAGCTTGGCTTCTTCCTTCGATCTGGCTTTCTCCTCAGCCAACTGAATCTGCTCGAACAAAATCTCCTCTTTCATTCTGTCGTAACTGTCCCAGTCAAGATGTTCTTGCCCCTTTCCTCCTCTCTTGGCAGCTTCCGCTATGTTTTCTGACCATGATGATATGAATCTCTCCTTTGATCGCTTCAACTTCGTCCGTTCTGCCCACACTCTCGTGACCGACGATCTTATTTTCTCCTTTGTCTCGTCGCTGCAGGAAACAGTTATACACACTGAATAGCTCTGAAAGTGTAACGTCGATAAATTCTGGAGTGAAAGTTGATACCTTTTTTAGATTAACTGGGCTAAAACTAGAGTAAATACATTGAAAAATATCTGCCAGATTCAGAAGTAAACTAACTCAGCTTCAAAGTTCAAAGTTGATGGATGCACTCGGGTGGGAAAACCCGGAAATTTACTTTCAGACAACTCCATGTGTTATCCGACAGAAAGCATATGCAGTGTTATGTCCAAATACGTGAATGATGGCTCGGTTTGTATTATTTACAGTGTAACTTGAGCTCGTATTAAGCGAACCTGAAATCTACCTGTGTGGTTGTGGATGTTCAGACATCTTTCTCCGCACCTGGAAGATGATGAATACAAAATAGATTAGGCCTTTTACATTATTGGCAACATTGTCTAGTACCTCACATGATAACAGCCGAGAAAACTTGGGCAGAGTTTTCCATCTTCCAAAATGATAAACGATAATGTGTACATGAACATTTCAAAAACACTTGAATCTCTTACTTGACTTCACCTCAGGGTTTCTCAAGGCTTCTATAGTTCTCTGCTTGATTCGAACACGGGTCTCTACATGAGGTTAGAACTTTAAAGAGTTAAAACCAACTTCAAGGAATCTCGGGTAAATTTTCAGACTTGATATACAGAGTATTCCTACCTTCGGTATGTTGCTTTCCTTTGTTCCACGGCACCTTCCCCTTATTCGCTATTCCTATCTTTCTCCTCCTTTCCTCTTCTTTTCTTCTCTGCTCCATTGCACCTCTTCTTTCTACTCCACCATCCTTATCTGTAGCCTGCGCCTTGAAGATACATGGATAGCTCTTTTTGCTGTGAGAATGACATGTACTGTACAATTGAGACATACAGACAATGGATCTCAGATTGTGTAATCTCAGATTCTTCAAAGAAACAACGGAATCAGGTGTTTTCCAGATGATCGGTTCTCTGTATTTCCAGCAAGATGCAGTCTTGTGAAACCGGGCATGTTGTATGGACGGTAGAGACGAACATGAGAATGGTTTCGCCTCAGGACATGGACAGACGGCCATCTCCAAGGATGTTCCCCTGAACAACATATGAACACAAATCAAACCCAGTTTCTTTCAGACACAATGGAAGTATCCATCCATCCATCCACGGATTCTTGATACTTGTCAAAAAGAGAATTCCGAATGTGTGTGTGTATATATAAATCAACATGAGATAAATTGTCACAAAACATGAATGGGGAAATAATTGAGCTTCAAAGCCAGGAATTTTATCACATTGCAATGAGGAGGAAAACACAATCAAAACCAGGATGAAGACGACGAAAAAGGGTTTAGATTGATGATGGAAAAGAGTCTACATCTATTGAAACCCTGATTCGATTCAGAATTACACGAAACAGACGTGTGGAGAAGAATCTCGAGAGAGCAGAAGTTCAAAGACACAGCAGGACTCACAAATGGATCGACATTTCCGGCGAGAAAGAAGGCAGAAACCCTACGAGTACTCGAACTATCACACGCTGTAGCTTTCTTAGAACGAGTAGAAGCGAGAGCGAAAGGTTGAGAGAGAGAGGAGAGATAAGGGATATGATGATGATGATGATGACGACGACGTCGATGATGATGATGGGTCAGTTATTGGGTCTCGTCCTCTAAATGGGCCTAGGCCTCTTATTGAGCCCAATCTGTAACCTAGTGGTTTTTCATTTACGACCCAATTTGATTTTTTTTTTTTTTTTGCGGTGGGTAAAATTATTTAAGCTATTGACATTTCCGGAGTTTGATATATAATATAAAACCTGTGCCCCTAAAATTTATGATTTTTCGAATATTAATTTAAACATAATTTCTGTTTTTGATTAATTTCTAATCGAAACGATTTTTTTTTACATTTTTATGCCTTGTGTAAATAATGATGTAACATTGGTTATCGTGTCATTCAATTTTTTTGGCTAATCATCAAACTCTTCACGTTTATGAGATATATATTGTGTTAATTTTTTTTTTGTTTCTTAATTTAATCACCAAGCAAGTAGATTTCAAAAGAGATTAATTACATGAGTTTCAAACTTGAATTTGTTTTTTCAAGAAAAAGCATTCGTAACATTTCGCTCCTATATGATTTTTTATATACCTTTTCCTTATGATTGGGAATAAAAATAATTTTTTAATAGAGTCTTTCAGTCGAGCATCTTCAAATGCCTCGGTATCAGCTTTATGGAGCCCGCTCTCTCTACGCTTTTGCTGAACTTGTCGATTTCGAGCGCGGTCACAGAGGGATAGTCCGTGAGACAAGACGGTAACCAGGATGGTTTCTCGTACCTTCGACCCAACTACATCAGCTTTTGTATATGTACCATTTTAGTCCAGAAATTACATCCCTCCCCATCAGTGAAATCGAACCCAGTACTTTGAGGATGACTTTGTCACCTCTCAATCACTGGGCCACTAACTGTTGGGTATATATTGTGTTAAATTAATATCTAATGAGAATAAAGCAATAAAACGAAAAAGGTTGTGCATTATACATATAAGGTATTTATAACCCCATTGATCGTTATATATAAATGTTACAGTATAAGCAATCAATCAACCGTTTTTAATTATAACGTGTTTCATATCAATTACACATCCTAAAATTAAATACGTGCCCTGGTATTTCGGTTTTTTTATTCAATTGCCAAAAAATATTCAGAACTTATTTTTTGCAAATATATATACATGTAATATATATATATATATATGTAAATACGTGTGTTTAAATCATTTGTTAAATTATCAATTTCCAGCTCAACAAGCCCAATAGAAAACCCTATATAACACCAGCCCCCGCATTACTCTTTCCGCCGTCACTTTTTTTTTTTCTCAAAAATAATTTTTTGTGACCCCTTTATTTTCTCTCTCTCTCTCTCTGCGCTCGATTAGGGTTAGGGTGTTTTTTTTTTTGAAGAATCTGCGAATCATGGACCTGACGAAGAAGCGGAAGCTCGACGAGAACGGCGGTGGATTGCTCACCGAAGGCGTCACTGGTACGATTCGATTGACGCCGCATGACGCGAGGAAGATCATCGAGCGGTTCTCGACTGATCAGCTGCTCGATATCTTGCAGCAGGCTGTCGTTCGCCATCCAGATGTTCTGGAAGCTGTCCGATCGACCGCTGACTCCGACATCTCTCAGCGGAAGCTGTTCATCCGTGGCCTCGCGGCGGAGACCACGACGGAGGGTCTTCGTTCGCTTTTCTCCACTTACGGGGATCTTGAAGAGGCCATCGTGATTCTTGACAAGGTCACGGGGAAATCTAAAGGGTATGGTTTTGTCACCTTCCGGCATGTGGATGGAGCTTTGCTCGCTCTGAAGGAGCCATCGAAGAAGATCGATGGTCGCGTGACAGTCACGCAGCTTGCGGCTTCAGGGAATCAAGGTACGAGTACTAATGTTTCCGACATATCGATGAGGAAGATCTATGTGGCGAACGTACCGTTTGACATGCCTGCGGATAGGCTGTTGAATCACTTCCTGGCTTATGGGGATATTGAAGAGGGTCCTTTGGGTTTTGATAAATTGACTGGTAAATCAAGGGGCTTTGCTTTGTTTGTCTACAAGACAGCTGAAGGGGCACACGCGACTCTTGCTGATCCGGTGAAGGTGATTGACGGGAAGAATTTACATTGTAAATTGGCTATTGACGGTAAGAAAGGGAAGCCTGGTCAGGATGGCATGGTTCAGGGCGGTACCGGACCTGGACATGTTCATGGTGATGGAATGGGAATAGTTCCTCCTCCTGGACCATATGGTACATCCGGTGGTCCTGGTGGAATGGGTACTTATGGTGGATTCTCGGGACCACCTCCGCATCACATGAATTCTGCACCCTCCTCGATGGGTGTTGGTTCTGCTGGGTCTGGTGGATACGGGGGTGCAGGGTATGGTGGACATTACAGTGGGTATGGTAGTGGTCCAGGTTCTGGGGGCTATGGTGGTTTTGGTGGCGCTGGTGCGGGATCGATGGGTGGTGCTGGTGGCGCATACGGTGGGCCTGGTGCTGGTAGTGGACCATATAGAATGCCACCAAGTTCAATGCCTGGTGGTGGTTATCCTGAATCTGGACATTATGGCATGTCATCAGCAACGACATTTCCTGGTCAGCATCATCAGCCTGTTGGGACCTCCCCATTGCCTAGAGCTCCGCTTGGGGGAATGTACCCCAATGTTCCGCCAAATTACTGAACGGTAAGATTGTTCTCCTTCAGATTATATTTGTATTTTTGTTTTTGCTTTATTTGGCCGGTATTAGATTTGTGTGTGAGTGTCCTCCTTGCATTTATCATGCTTTCTCACTACTTTTGGCAAGACCATGTTTTGCTAGTTGGTGTCGTAGAGATGGTGTCTAGACTTGCTTGGTAGAAATTTTGTGGCAGATTTTTCCTTTTTATATGAGGTGATTCCTCCGATTCTTTATGTTGATTGAAGATGAAATCGTGCCATGATTTAAAATCCTAATAGCCGGCCAGAAAAGTGGCTGTTCTATGTTGGACCCTTTTGTGGTGAATCATTGGCTGGACGATATGAGAGTACTTTAAACGGTTGTCACTATTTTCATGCATTGTTTTTCTATTCTCCATCACCTGCATTGGCTGTCAGTTGGAGTGATCAAAAGCTATTATTGACCTGCCTCCTCATGCGGTTGTTGATTTATCTTTTTTTGTCTTTTCATATGCTTTTCAACCAATTTTATGCTTGTTTGTGACAAACAGTTTGTTATGGGCAATGCATTGAGAGACTTTTATTTTTGTAGTCTGATTTAACCCTTCTCTCGAAGTTAAGCATGGATACATTTCCTGTTAATGCTAATGACCAAATTGAGTTGTGAATTGGGTGTTTGATTCAGGTTTGTGACAGCTTGTTGGGCGAAGATGCTTTTTGTGCTTAATGGTGATTACCTGATTGCAGCCTCATTAGTATCTGGATTGATGAATATATATGCGCTGTGCTTTGACCTCTCTGGGCTTGATCTGAATGTGATTGGCTTCTGAGTGCCTGGTTGCTTAAATGACTGATTTGAGTAGGATATCTTTTATGTACTTTTTATAGTAGAGATTCTAGCAGATGGATTTTGTTTCTTGATTAGTGAGTTTATAATAAATATATGTTGTATCCCTCTTCTCTCTTCTTCAAGTGTTTCCTGGTTAATTTTTCCATCTTTTTCTGTTCATGGGCTTGTCTGGGGTTAGCTGGCTTTGGTCTTTGAAGAATGCTTGGTTGTCATCAGCAGAATGTGTTCAACTGCTTTCTCTGACATAAGTGGGAGTCCAACGTTTGTGGAACTTTTGCTTTGTGATGATCTGATTGGTGATACTTGCCTTGCGAGTGATGGTCCGTGGCCATCTAAGCTAGTTTTGTTGTTTCCGCTAGCCGTCATTACGCTTAACGACAAGGCCATGGACGTGTCCTTTTCCGTGTTGTGCGAAGTGATTGATTGACTGTGTCTAGAGTGCATAAAAGGCTAGTTTCCATTTGAAGAACTCTCTTGACGAGAGCCATTGGTGTGGTGTCACAGTGGGTGAGTGTTGTTTGGCAGAACGCCGGTTGCTAGTGGTAATTAGACGTGTTTTTGCGCATGCTAGCATTTATATGAAGAAATCTCATGTCTGATGATGATGATGATGATGATTTGTTGCCCAAAGTTGGAAAGATTGCATGGGGAAAAGATCATTTTGATATTTCTTTTTAAGGTTGCAAAGTTTTTTTTGTTTTGGTTGGGTGGTTTGGTTTGGTTTGGTGTTATAGTAAGTAATAGCCGCTACGTATCTGGGATAGTCAATTGTACCGTTAACGCTAACTCGTGACGCCTGTCGTTTTTTTTCTCGTAATAATTTGGCGTCACTGATCTTTCGCCGCAACGCTCTCTGAGAAAATTCTTCCCCGAGAGAGGGAGACAGACAGAAGGGGCAAACGGTCGGAGGAGGCTCAGCTGCGAATCTTGTAAAACTCTTTGGTCTCTCTCTCTTTTTTTTTTTTTTTTTTTTTTTTTTTCCTTTCATCGGAATCCGCCATTTTACTATAAGAGTTATAGTTACTGACATGTATATATATATATATGCATCTCTCCCCTAGAGTTCTCTTCGGAACTCTCAACGCTAATTTGCCTATGTAATGCCAGTATTATTACAATCTAATCCAAATAGCTAAAGAAACCAAACAACAAATCTCCAATATTTCATTGATGATCCCTTTGCCCATTTGCAACTTAGTAAGAGGGGAAACCCTTTCTCCGAATCCGGTTATCTATCTTGCTTCTGCAATGATCCAGATGTTGTGGAATGCTGAAAAGCTTTCATCCAATCCGCCAAAACTCCTATTCAGGTTTCGGTTCGGTTATACTCTTGACTTAAGAACAGCTATAATCATTCGAGGATTTTGAGAAACAAGGGTTGGAAGCCATGAATCCCGATCCCAAGTTCCAATTGGTAGAAGAAGCTAAGTGAAGCTAATATACGTTAATTCCAGCGAATGCCCGTCTCTCATCCGAACCAGTTGTACTAGTTCGGTCTTTGGTCTGAACTTTTTTACAGACGCACGTAGATATATGGAACACACCATGCATGCATTTAAGATTAGGGTCTGCATGAAAGAAAAAAAACTTTCGGGCGAAACCTGAGACGACGGCCGAAACCAAACCCTAACTCTTCCTTCACACCACCGCCCGGCGGAATTAGCTACAAAATCAGCCCAACGTTCATACACCATAAACTCATCTCATGGCCCCTCGATTGCGCTCCTCCTCCGCCCCACCATCCCCGAGCTTTCTCGGTCCGCCACCATCCACCCCCCTCCCCTCTTCTCCCCCTCGGCCACCACTTGGCCTTGGGCGCAAGCCACCGAGTCAAATCGAATCCCCCCACTCTTCTCTTCCCTCCCCTTCGTCTCACCCCGTTTCTTTTTCCTGACTCGTCGGAGCAAAATCCAAACCTAATCCTCGGGGTCGTGGCGACAGTCTCGTTCATGCCTGACATCACCTAAAGCTTCATCCTCTTCTGGGTCCTTCTCCACAGGCAAGGCTGGCAAAAATCCAACCTCATTGCAATCTGAAAAGTTCGTCAAGGGCTGGGGAAAATCCCCTCTGTACCTACAGACTTACCATCTCCACCAGCTCAGAAGAATTGGAATGAGCATCTCTTCCCAGCGGCCCGGAAGATGCAACAAATGGGCTCTCCCGAAGTTCATGTCTCCGGCGTACCGCTAGTGACGATTCCAGAGGAATTCCTGGAAGAATCCTCTAAAGAATGGCAAGACTACCTCATTGGGCAGTTTTACGGTTTGCCTCCATCGATGGTTCGCGTTATCGGAGCTGTTAACGGACTATGGGCTAAACAGGGACCACGCATCCGAGTCCATGACGCTGGTAACGACACCTTCCTATTCCGAGTACCTGCTGCAGACATCAGAGCCAGAATCCTTTCTCAGAGATTCTGGTACATTGGGCCATGTTCGATGTTTGTTTCGCCATGGAACCCTTAACATAATCCGGAGAAGCCTCCACTCCGATCCATATCTACTTGGGTGACGCTGCGTAATCTACCGCACATCCTATATAACTCAAATTGTCTGAGCCGTATTGTGACTAGTCTTGGTGAACCGCTTTACATGGATCGAGCCACAACTGCTAAAGAGAATCTAACGCTTGCCAGGATATATACAGAAGTCCAACTCCATCGGCCTCTTCCCCGCCAGGTAGCAGTTCGGTTCCCCGATAATCGGGAGCTAAAGGTAGACGTAGCGTATGATTGGCTCCCCCCACCCGCAGGCACCGTCATCACTGTCCGACGCATCCTCCACCGAGCAACAAACCACAGGAAACGGACAACCTCAGTCAGCGAACGCACACAAACCAGGAAGCTGCGAGTAAAGGTGTTGAGAGTCCACTGGTCCAGGATACATAGGCCCACTACAAAAAAATCCTCGAATTCCAACGGATTTGTCTGTTGGAAATTTTTCAACAGATTTCCAACGGTTTTCAACGACGTTTCAACGACGATTTTCGTTAAAATTCAATTGAAAAATTGGGTTGAAAATTTCCAACGGTATTTCCAACGGATTAACGTTGGAAAAATCGGTTGCAAATTTTTAACGGAATTCCAACGGATGTTTGTTAGAAAACAATTCCAACGGATGCCGGTTGGAATTTTTTTTCGAAATTTTGTTTAAAAAAAATTCCAACCGAATTCCAACGAATGCCGGTTGGAAATTTTTTTGAAAATTTTAAAAAAAATTCCAACGGATGTCGGTTGGAAATTTGGATTTTAATTGAAAAATCAATTGAAATACATATATATACGTATAAATATATAAAAGACTCGTATATTTAAATATATATATATATATACATATACGTATAAATATATATATGTATGTTAAGGAGGTATATATATATATATATGAATTCGAATATATATATATATACATATATACACGTATATATATGTATATTAATGAGGTATATATATACGTATAAACAAATATTTTATATATTTATACATATATATGTATAAATATAGGTATATTTTGTGTTTATATATTTTTATATATACAAATATGATGTGTATATATACACATATATGTATACGAATAAATATATATATATATATATTAACCATATACATATACATAACAAATATATATATAATGAATTTGAATATGTATATATGTAAATATGTAAATATGTATAAATATTTATATGCGTATATATATATATTAAGAAGGTGTACATATACGTATAAACAAATATTTTATAAATTTATACATCTATATATGTATAAATATAGATATATTTTGTGTTTGTATATTTTTATATATATAAATATGATGTGTGTAATATATACACATATATGTATACGAATAAGTATATATATATATATATATTAACCATATACATATACATAACAAATATATATATTGTATCAATATTTATATATGTATATATATTAATGTTATATGATATCAGAAGTTTAACTTGGAGGAGTTGGATGAGTTCTAATTGGAATTCCAGGGTTAAGGAGGATTGAGTTGGGGCTGTGGAAGGATGGGTGAACTCCAGGGTCGGGTCGGGTCGGGGTCGGGGTCGGGAATATGTTTCGAATTTTTCGTTGGAAAATTCCAACGGAATGCGGTTGAAAATTCCGTTGAAAAATTGCAACGGATATCGGTTGGAAATTCCGTTGGAAAATTCCAACGGATTGCGGTTGGAAATTTCGTTAGAATTTTCCAACCGAGATTGCGGTTGGAAATCCGTTGGAAAATTCCAACGGATGCCGGTTGGAAATCCGTTGGAATTTTCCAACGGAAAAATTCGTTGAAATGCCGTTGAAAATTCCAACGGTTTTCCAACGGACACCGATTTCTAACGACGAAATTTCAACGGATAAATCCGTTGGAAACGTTAATTTCCAACGGAAATTTGTCCGTTGGAAATGACCATTTTTTTTGTAACGGCCATACCTCAGCCACTGGCCCCTATGGAGCCAGTACCTATTTCAGTTGAGATAAGATCAACCCAGATCAAGATCAAGTTCAAGTAAATGGTGCAGAACATATGGTTGCCCCGTTGTCACATCCTCCGCCGACATCGGCACCACAACAGTCACATACTTCTCATCCAGCTGTTCAGGAACCTATAAAGAACACCAAGATATCTGCCCCTCTACCGGACAGACCGCTCTGATCTCACCATTATGCCATCACAACGCCAAGGTTAGCAAGATTTAGCAGAGTGTATTGAAATGATTAGCCTCCAATAAGTGCCAAGCTGCGAGCTGCACTACACCTGATGCAACAATCAGCCAGCTAACCCTCTCTCAGTCAAATTGGACAGGGCTTTGTGCAATGGCCAATGGATAGACTTCTTCTCTCAGGCTTACGTAGAATTCTCTGCACCGGGGCCTTCCGACCATGCTCCTTGTGTTTTGAACTTCCCATCCTCTTCGACCCAAGTACGAAGACCATTCAAATTCCTCCACCATCTCATTTTGAATGCTCAGAGATTCAATAACCTATCCAACCAAGCTAAAGAGGCTGGGATCAGGCTGAAACAAGTCCAAGCAGCCATCCTTCACACTCCTGAACCTGAGGACATTGAGATGGAGAAACGACTGAGGAAAGAATGGATGTTGCTGACTGCGGCCGAGGAGAGACTATTCCGTCAAAAGTGTCGAATCAAGTGGCTTCAGCTCGGGGACAAAAATACTGCATACTTCCATAAGGTCACCAACGCGAGGAATGGCCGAAACCATATACACACGCTCATAGATACGACTGGTCACACGCTGGAATCGCCTCCGAATATTAAAAATCACGCATGGAATTCTATACAGATCTGATTGGAAAGGTCGCCGCTGAAATCAGGGCACCATCAGCAGAGGACCTTGGGGCACTGCTCAGGTACAATTGCTCTCCTGAGAATGCTGCAGAACTGACTAGAATTCCAAATGCTGGTGAAATTAAACAGGTTCTATTTGACATGTCGGACAATAAGGCTCCGGGGCCGGATAAATTCTCCAAGGAATTTTTTAAGTCTACATGGGAAATTACGGGCTCGGGTCTGATCAATTCCGTCTTAAATTTCTTCACCAGTGGCCGCATGTTAGGGTAGTCCAATGCTACAATTATCACTCTCGTGCCCAAAAAGTCGGGCGTAGTATCACTTGCAGAATACCGACCAATCAGTTGTTGTAACACGGTCTACAAGGTCATCTCTTCACTTCTTGCTAAGCGACTCAAGCCGATTCTCCAGAAATTCATCTCAATCTGCATTCCTAAAAGGTAGATTGATGCTGGAAAATATTCTCATTGCTACTGAGTTAATCTGTGACTATAACCGTAAAGGCTCAAAGGCAAGTGCAATGATCAAGATAGACATTTGGAAAGCCTTCGATACTCTTTCTTGGGATTTCTTACTCAGAGTCCTCCAGGGACTCAACCTGCCGGTGAGATTTGTTCGATGGATACAAGCTTGCGTGACTACTACTAAGTTCTCGGTGAGCATCAATGGGGAATTGACGGGGTACTTCAAAGGCAAAAGATGGCTGAGACAAGGGGACCCAATCTCGCCATATTTGTTCATTCTTTCGATGGAGATTCTCTCAAGGATGCTTGATAAGGGAGCAGCTGGAGGTACATTCAGATCCCATCCAAAATGTCGGGAACCACCTATCACACACCTCTCTTTTGCGGACGACATTATGATCTTCTGGGAAACTCAGTCTATCCGAGGCGCGATCAACATTCTTGACAGGTTCAATAGTGAGTCAGGGCTGAAAATGAATACAAGCAAATCTGAGATATATTTGGGAGGAATGAGTCAGCAACAAGTTCGTTGGCTTCCGCTCTAGGCATTAAGATGGGATCTTTTCCTATCAAATACCTCGGAGTTCCACTTAAGCCGATTAAGCTGACTCGTGTTGATTACCAACCTCTCCTCGAAAAGATCAAGAATAAAATCTTGGCTTGGAGCAACATGTTCCTATCATATGCCGGCAGGATACACCTCATCTTCACAGTAGTGTATGGATTTGTCAATGCTTGGAGTTTGATTTTTGCTCTTCCCCGTTTCTTCCTCAAGCAGGTCGACAGCTTATGCTCGGGATTTCTCTGGAAAGGAAACCCACATTCAGCAGGCTCCCATCGGAGCTCATGGGCTACAATCTGTCAACCTAAGAAAGAGGGTGTCTCGGATTGAGGAGATTGGAAGACTTTAACACAATTTTCTGATTAAAACTTATATGGATTTATTCACCAAATCTGGTTCTCTTTGGGTAGCATGGATTTGACGAAATATATTTAAATATGATTGTTTCTGGAGTTGCAAACTGACTAGCAGATTCTCTTGGCTTCTCAGGAAGCTCATCAGCATCAAAGAAAAAGCCAGGAACTTCCTTAAGAAGCAGATCGGAGATGGCAAATCAAGCAGTTTCTGGTTTGATGATTGGACTGGGGCTAGTCCACTGATCACCCTCACCGGAGAAATTGGGCTGCGACTACTACGAGTTCCTCGAGATGCGTCGATTGCACAGGCTGCACCAGGGGGAGATGGACTTTTTTAAGAGCTCGATTCGAGGCCACCCAAGAGATTCAAATCAAGATAGCGGCAATTGAACCACCCAATAACGGAGAAGGGCCAGACTTAACACTATGGAAGCAAGCAAATGGTGAGTTTCGAGCATGGTTCTCCTTGGCACAAACATGGCAACAAATCAGAACTCAGGGAGCACAGTTGTCTGGTTTAATGATGTCTGGCTCACCCTGTCGACTCCTAGATTGTCTCTACTGCTCTGGCAAGTGAAGCTACTGCTCTGGCAAGTGAAGCTACAACGTCTACCCACGACGGATTGACTAAACCGGTGGGGAGTTCAGGTTGACAGCGTATGTCAATTATGCGGATTGCAGGATGAGAGTCACTCTCATTTGTTCTTCGAGTGTCCTTATAGCTATGCGATCTGGAGCCATTTCACAGGTTGTTGTGGTGACAACCCTCCATCGGATCTAGGCCAAGTACGGAGTTGGAGCGGAAGACAAAATTGAGGGACATAGCAAAACAAAGGTCTCATCTCCAAGATTCTCTCACACGTGACAGTGGACCTGATATGGAATGAGAGGAATGATCGGATATTCAGGGAAAAAGTGACAACGATTCGAGACGCACGGACCGGCGGATGCGAACTCTTTTACTGTCAGTTCGGCTGGGAAGTAAAGTCCAGCACGTTCGGTTATTTAAGGACTGGTATTTCTTGACGAAAGGTCTTAGATAGGAAATGGATTAGAATCACCTACGATGGATTATTTTGGCCACTTGCTCATGGGAATCCAAATTTTTGTACATGTCTGTTTTACAAACTAATGTATTCTTTTGGAGTTTAATACAATCACATTTAACCCCAACAAAAAAAAAGATTAGGATTTTCTCTCTCTCTCTCTACCAAACTACTTCTGCTTCTGTATTTACTCAAAATCTATCTGCCCTCTTTCCAAACTTTTTCTTTTTTTTTAAAATCAAATGCAATTCATGTCCAGAGTCCAGACATTAAAAACAAATATGCAAGTGAATGTATGTGTTGTTGCTGTCTCTCTCCTTGGATCACGAGCCTCTCTCTCTCCCCCTCTCTTTTTGTTTTTTCTCGTGCTAGAGAGAGAGAGAGAGGGGTGAGTCCATGGAAACATCGCCCTTTTTTTCCTTTTTTTTTTCTATTATTTTTTGTACTTCCCTTTTCCTCTGTCAACGAAACCATACAAATTAAACAACACTCCATTTTTTAAGAAATTAAAATATGTAATTTATGTGGACATATGTTCTCTAACACCAAAAAGTATATATCGCCTCCCTATTCGTTGTTCTCATTATATTTTATTCTTCCTACTAACACTTTATAATGTTACCCAATATTCTCTCTATATATAATATCCAAATAATCAGATCGCAAGGATCGTTAATCATATGGTATAAATTTTTTGGCTAGAATTAGAATTTTATATGAATAAATTAATTTTATGAAGTAATCCAAAACTTAGTACGTAAGGGGAATATCAATGATTTCCATGTTCGATTATAATCTTAGGTACAAAAAATATCAAACGTTGGTGTCTATCAAACTTAATTGTTGGGTTGCCATTCAATTTTGGTACGTGGTCGGTCCATAATAATGGAGAAGTGGTTGGAAAATATATAACAAATAAAAGGGAAAAAAAGGTGAAACAATATAAAAAAAATACCATTATACATCTCAATAATGGGTGTTAAACATTACCAATGATATTGTGGTGGGTTCTTGATTAAATGTGACAAAAAGATGACATGTTTAGAAATTTATGTCCTTTTTTTCAATTCTTTGAAAACTATATCTTTTTATAAATTTTTGACAAAACTACTCTTACTTTATTGTATAATTTCAATATTGACATTTAGTGTCCCGAAAAAATGTGCAGTATAAAAAGCAGATTTTTTTGGAAACTGTGTAATCCGGAAGAGTTGTTTTTCATCCAGGAGAGTCTGTTTTTATCCGGGAGAATTGTTTTTTGTCCGGGAGATCTGTTTTCCATCCGGGAGAGTATTTTTTGTACGAGAGAACTGTTTTTCGTCCGGGAGAGTCTGTTTTTTATCCGGAAGAATTGTTTTTCGTCCGAAAGAGTATGTTTTTTGTCCGGTAGAATTTTTTTTTGTCCAGGAGAACTGTTTTTGTTCGAGAGAGTTTGTTTTTGTCCGGGAGAATCTTTTTTTTATTCGGGAGTACTGTTTTTTGTCCGGAAAATCTGTTTTTCGTTCGGAAAAATTTGTTTTTTTATCCGGAAAAATTGTTTTTTTTTTCGAGAGAGTTGTTTTTCGTTCGGAAGTGTACGTTTTTTTATCCGGATGAAAAATAGTTCTCACGTATAAAAAAATTTGTTTTTCATATAAAAACATTTTTTTCTTGATGAAAACAATTCTCTAAAAAAAAAATTATTCCCTCGGACGAAAATAGACTTTTTCGGATAAAAAAAAGTTCTTTCGGATAAAAAAAGTCTTTCCCGAATGAAAAAACAATTTTTTCGGACGAGAAACAGTTTTTCTTGATTCTCATATATGGAAAATAATTATCCCGGATGAAAAAACAGATTCTCACAGATAGAAAATAATTATCCCGGATGAAAAAACAGTTTTCCGAGATAACACAATTTCTCAATAAAATATTTTTTTTATGATGTAATTTTTTTAAAATGTTTAATGGTAATATTGAAATTATACAATAAAATAAGGGTATTTTTGTCAAAAAATTATAAAAGATATAGTTTTCAAAAGAAAAAAAACATAGATTTCTAATTACGTGACATTTTTGGATACTGCTGCAAATTTCCACTACTGTGATTTACTAATGCAAAAGCCAACATCAAGAAATTAATATATAGTTTCCGTAATTATCATTGATATATACTGCATGGACGATGTAATACCGATAACGCTATAGGCACCGATAATTTTTCCTTTCAGTAACGTGATTTTCACTTTTTTTTTTGGCGTAACCATTTTTATCTTTTCTTTAAAGGTATTAGTGATTTGTTTTTGTCTTTGATTTGATAATATATTGTGTATAATAGAGGTTATATATATATATATATATATATATATATATATATATATACATGTGTGTGTGTGGG